CCGGTACCTACGTGCAGCTTGTTGAGCAGCACGGCGTCCGTGGTGCTGTTGGCGCCCGGCTTGGCCGCCTTCCAGAACTGCTTCTGCGCGGAGTAGCGGTTCATGGGGCAGAGCCGGAACAGGCAGTCTAGGAGGGAACAGACAACGAAGCGGTCACTGAGGAAGGCGCGCCCCAGCCAGGGGAAGCCCACCCCCGTGAGGCCCGGAAGGCGGTTCAACCGCGCGTGTCAGCGACGGGCACAGGCCTGACAGCTCTCCCCTCTGACCTTCAGTTCTCAGACCCTCCGCATGAGGTTCCAGGGAGAACATGAGGCCGGCGGGGGGCAGAGCTGGGGCTCAGGGTCAAATCCAGCTCTCACAGCGGCCCCCCAGCTTCTACTGGGAAAGTGCGAGGGCGCATAACCCCGCTGCGTGTCAGCACACGGGCATCTCCACCGCAAGCCCCCCCCCCACCCGACCACGTGTGAAAATACGAGAGAAGCTTGCACGGAGGGACCCGCTGGCGCGGAGGCCTCTTACGGGGTGTGTACGAGATGATTCTTGGGGAGCAGAGAGAAACTATCTGCGCTTGATCTGGGACCGTCGTGTCCTTGTCCCTCGGCCTTGGCACCGTGGCGCCCTCCCGCTGGGATCCCCTGGGCACCTGTGACCCTACACACGGCCCTACAGAGAAGCAACGCTAGCACAGCGGACTGGTGGCTGCAGAGCCACCCGCATGTTAGAAACAATAAACAAAACACTGGGAATATTGTCTCTAATGACGAACCCGACCTAAAGCACCGTGTGCTGAGGCACCAATGAGAGCGTGGCAATCGCCATCACAGGACACGACGCCGCTGTCCAATCTCGGTGTTTCCATCAACGTCCCCTTTCCTGCTTGTCGTTATAATGCATGTACTGTATCTGTAAACTGGAGGCCCGATGCACGAAATTCGTGCAAGAGCAGGCCTTCGCAGCCACGGCGGCTGCCTAGATCCCACGGCTGCAGCCCCAGCTTCGTCTGGAAGGTTGTCCGGAAGGTCGTCTGGTCTAATTAGCATATTATGCTTTTATTATTACTGATAACGCTACCTATCCAGTAATGTGTATACAGCTTTCAAATATAAACACACATAGTTTACGAGTATATCTGTCAATTTTTAGAGGCATAAGCCCATATAAAGAAAAAGAACATTTAAGTCACCAGTGTTCGTATCTGACACAGGGCTTCCTTTATGGGCCAAGTGGAATAACAATTCCAAATCTGACCAACAAGGCACGGAGAGTGGAACGGTCTATGCTTTCTGTCCGCACGCTTCCCACGCTGACAGCCCGTGCACACATTCAAAGTCAAACTGGTTCAGATGGATCTTGGGAACCATCAGGCCGGATCCACGATGCCAGGGGACTCACAGGCCACGGGAGTTCCATTCTGCGACGGCTGCGGTGGGGCCGGGTCTGGCACCCACCGAACACACAACACGGCCCAACACGGCTCAACACTCCGGATGACGGGAGGGTCACCCGAGGCCGGAGTGTGAATTTCAGCGCCGTCGGCCCAGCCACAGCCTTGCTGTCACTCCCACGCCAACTGCGCTCCTCGGGCGACACAGAGCATCCCAGCGGACTAAGCGTATTTACAACCAACCGTCTCCGTAAATACGAGATGTGACCGAACTCGCGCCAGAACCGCATTAGCCTTGCTGATTTCGTCCTGTCTTCCCAGTTGCTTAGCAACTGATTGGAAGTGAAAATTAAATTAAGCAATTCAAATGTGATGGGAGAGTCACCTTCCGGAATTCTGCAACTCAGCCGCTCTGCGTGGCCCTCTGCTCCTGGGATGGTGGGGCAGGGCGGGCTGAGAGTTCCGCCGGGTCCCCATGTGCGCTCGGCACCGAAACACTCACACACAGGGACTCGGCAGAGGACCAGGCCGGCTACCTGTGTGTGTGTGTGTGTGTGTGTGTGTGTGTGTGTGCGTGTGTGTGTGTGTGAGTACATATGTGCGCGCACACACACACTGTGGTCTGATCTCACTCCAAAGAAATGCCACAAAGAACAGCTTATGACAAGTGTTATTTTAGGCCCCTAAAGAATAAACTAGACTAAGGTTTCAAAAAATCACTTTGGCACATTCCTAAGCTGCAGCAGAGCCACGCTGGGCCCGCACAGGAGAAGCCAGCCAAGCAGGGTGGGGTCAGCTGTGGAAGGGCTGGGGACAGTGATGCTCTGTGGTTTAAGCAGCATCCAGAACACAGAGGAGGGAGAACGCCCGCTGCTTAGTAGATGCGTTTAACTAAGAAATGAGCACCTTGGTGTGCAGGTCAGAGAACCAGGGGGGTGAGAGGAGCTTCAGAGGTGGGTGGAGCCACAGGAGTGGGTGGAGCCATCGGGTGGGAGGAGCCACGCGAGTGGGTGGAGCCACTAGGTGGGAGGAGCCACATGAATGGGTGGGGCCATATGAGTGGGTGGAGTCACTGGGTGGAAGGAACCATGGGGGTGGGGCCATAGGAGTGGGTGGAGTCCCACAGGTGGGTGGAACCACAGGGGTGCTTGGAGCCCTCCACAGTGGCCCCACTCACGCACAAAGGCTGCGGGAAGAACAGCTGGAAGACCACACCAGCCTCAGCATCCCCGGAAAGTGGAACTCCGCATCCGTGGAGAGTGTAAGGACCCTGAGGGTGGAGACACTGGTAAACCTGGTTGAATGAATCATCCCTGAGGCTCCAGGAGTGACTCGGTGGTTCTACGTCAGGAAAGAGGAGGAGGAGGAGGAGGAGGAGGAGGAGGAGTGGTGGTGGGAGGGGCCTGGACAAACACCTGGACAAAAGCCTGAAGATGGAGCGAAGGGTCCTGGGCAAAGCGAGTGCTGGGGCCCGGTGGCTGGAGCAGAGGGGCTCGCCTCCTGCAAGGTGAGCAGTCTCGGCCATCAGGAGCTGCCCACGGGCGTTCAGCACAGAACCCTGCGGCTCAGGTTCCGTGGGGAGCTTTCTATTTGCTGGTGGTGCTGCTAAGGAAGGGAAGGCGGGAGGGCCGACTGGGGGCAGGAGGGAAAATGGAGAATTTCACTTTAGCGATGCGTCGTCTCGACGCCCATGAAACATCCCAGCTGAAGTGCTGAGTAGGCCGTCCACCGACTAGTGGGCTGCAACCACAGAGCAGCCAGTTATTTCAGGAGGTGAGGGGGAGACGGGAGAGGAAGGAGGCTGCTGGGGGGGAGAGCGGAGGAAGTCAGCATCACAAATCCAGTGCCGCTCCCATCTGCCACCGGGAGCTCTGTCCAAACCCAGGGACTACGCTCTCGGAGGCTGACAGAAGCTTGAACTCGATTCAAAGTTTTCATCGGGCAGGATGAAGGCGAAAGCTTTCCTCTTCCTTCTTGCCCCCCTCCCATCCCCCAAACAACACAAAGAAAATTAAAAACCAAAACCCCAACTCCATCTTCTATGAAACTCAACTCCATCGTCCCAAGTTGCCAAACATGAAGATGGGAAGAGGGTGGAGGGGAGCGAACCTACGAGTCTGCACCAGGGGAAGCGAGCTGACTGGCCCTGCGGAGCCGGATGGGCCCAGGAACCGGGTGTCACTGTGCAAGGCACGGCCCTGCCCATGCAGAGCAGGGACAGGGCTCCAGGGCCCGAGGACGGCCGGTGGGGAGGACCAGGAGTGGAAGATCGCCCTGTCCGCCCCACACAGAAACTTGCAGAGGGAAGGACGGCTCGGCAAATGCTACGGAAGAGCTAAGCAAACAAGGAAAAATAGGGCATCACGAAGCCAGGGGAAAGCTGCATATTAAAAGCTGGTGTGTCTTCAGCTCGCAGGGCACGCTGTTTACATAGTCAGGAGAGTCTGGGTGGAATGTTACTTCGGCCAAGGAGAAAAGTGAGGCAACGCTAATGGGAGGAGGGGCAGGGGCAGGAGAGTGCCCGAACGCCCAGCTCACCTACAGGAACAGGAAGGCAGCGGGTGATATTTAAAGTAGATTAATCCACAGACATCAGGAGACCCACGTCATCTGGAAACACAGAGCTCGGGAATGGAGGAGAAGGTTAAGACATTCTAACTTGTTGCAGCTGGAACAAGGGGAGGCCTGAGGTGTCAGACACGGGACTGTTGTTTTTATTCTGCATTTTATCAATTGTTGACCGTCTTTATTGAGGTGAACTTCACATCACATAAAAGTAACCGTTTAAAATTTTTTGAAATATGTTTGTATGATTTCAGAGAACAAGGTAAAGGAAGAGAGAGAGAGAAGCATCAATGATGACAGAGATTCACTGATCAGCTGCCTCCTACACGCCCCCCGCTGGGGATCCACCCCGCAACCTAGGCATGTGCCCTGACTGGGAATCAAACCGGCGACCTCTTGGTTCATAGGTCGACGCTCAACCACTGGGCCACAGCGGCCGGGCAAGAAACCTAGTTTTTCAAGCTCCACCATGATTCTCACAGCAGGAGACCCACGTCATCTGGAAACACAGAGCTCGGGAATGGAGGAGAAGGTTAAGACATTCTAACTTGTTGCAGCTGGAACAAGGGGAGGCCTGAGGTGTCAGACACGGGACTGTTGTTTTTATTCTGCATTTTATCAATTGTTGACCGTCATTATTGAGGTGAACTTCACATCACATAAAAGTAACCATTTAAAATTTTTTAAAATATGTTTGTATGATTTCAGAGAACAAGGTGAAGGAAGAGAGAGATAGAAGCAACAATGATGACAGAGATTCACTGATCGGCTGCCTCCTACACGCCCCCCGCATGTGCCCTGACTGGGAATCAAACCGGCGACCTCTTGGTTCATAGGTCGACGCTCAACCACTGGGCCACAGCGGCCGGGCAAGAAACCTAGTTTTTCAAGCTCCACCATGATTCTCACAGGCAGCCAGGCCTGGGGACCAGCGGGCGGGATGCTCCAGGGCCCACTCCAGCATCAATGCCAGATGGAACCGGAAGACTCGGGGGGCTGAGCATTTAGGGGCCTGGTTTCATACCAAGAAAAAACCAATGCAGCCTCCACCACATGTGCCGGCCACCGAGCCAGGCTCAGCGGACCCTCCCTCCACGGCTTCTGCTCCGGACCCAGCAGGTGGGCACGTGGCAGCCTCTGCACCGAGCTGCCTCTGGGCGACGCAGAGTCGACCTGCA